AAAAAAAAAAAAAAAAAAACGAAACAATCTACGTAAAATACACAATCTGATATGGAAAACATATATTACCGCCCGCGTTTTCCGTAATTAAACCCGAATTTGAGAATATCTCGAAATAAGTGATGAAAAATATCGGCATCCGAGCTAGCTATTTTCAAAGAAAATTTGGTGTGGAATTGCTGAACCAATAAATGATACGATGCAATCTGCGCATTATATTCTAGAGGATTCAGAACTCGAACAGAACTACCAGATTACGAATGAAAAATGAAACTACGCATTTTACATGTATTTCGAAATTCGCATGCCTTCCATTAATGGCCTCAGAATACGACGACTTCGAACATAACTATCCCGTATTAAAAAAAAAGTTGACTTCTACAAAAAAATAAGTCCAGCGCTGCAAAAGACAGGAATGAAACTTAAGGATATCAGAAGTAGACAACCAGATAATCACTTCTCATTTTTTTCTAGTAATTTCGAACATTTACTTCAGGCTATTTCATGAATATCAAATTCTACAGTGTTTCATATTCAGTATAGTTCTATTGTAATATTCAGACAAAAAAATTACTGATTTTTAGTTAATTAGCGCGGAGCCAAAGCCTTTTTTTTTCTTCAAAATTCAAATCCAGCAGTGACCCAGTGCCTCCAGGATTCTTTCTAAATAGTAGTTTGATATTAAAATATGCCTGGGAGTTAAAGGTGTCACCAGGTTGTTTTTAAGCAACTTTTGGGAGCAATCACCGCGAAATGAGTAACAACTTTGCCAGCGAATGATTGCTGTCGTCGTCTGCTACCATTATTCATGCTAGCTGCGAATGCCTACACAGCCCCTCTGCCCCAATAAGACTCAGCCGTAAAATATGGTGTGAATTCCTACCGATCTGGATTGGGGCTAGAATTATTATATGGTAAAGAATTAAAGAAAAAGAAAAAAGCAAGGTCGTAGGCTAAGATTATGTGGCATGAAATCGTCTACAGTGTCGTAAAATAATGTAGAAGAAAAATATACAGGAGAAAATCCGCCTCTGTTTCATCCCCCAGCTGCAAACACTGACAACTGTCGGCACAGTTAGGGGCAGGAATCATCAGTACAGCCCACTAAATCAAACTGTCCGGAATTTTATTTCATGTTATGCGGACAAAAAAACCTGCTACACAATTTTGGGTAAATTTTTTTCAAAGATCAGTAAATCAGAATCATATTTGTTTACATATAAAACTAAAACTTGCGCGTAAAAACTCGAACTAACTTTATGGCCTGTCTGGCGACAAAATGAGCAGGTGATGGCAGCACTTCCTTGGTGTTCGGTAGCTGGATGAGTGCCGGATACAAGAAATGGAAGACACTTTCGGCCGTGAAGCATATCATGTGAGCGGATAAAAGTGAGCGTAGTTCCATTGTTGTTGCAAGTGGTGATACCAGTGGAATACGGTTCTGTGTCGGTGACATTGCTGCGAATTTGGAGCGCAATTCCATCAGCAAAAGGCCTGCTTTGTTGCCCTGAAAAATTGCTAAAGTAGCTTTGAATGTGATGATCCGGAAAAAGCTTTGCATAAAAATTTTCATGGATATAACAAATCTGGGAAGCCTTCCCTACAAATCGTTTTTAGGGTTTTGGAGAAAATATGAAAAAAAAAAGATGGGAGGGTTGTAAAGAATTATTCAAGTAGGTAAGAAATGTTTCGGTCCATTAAGTCGTAGACATTTCTTACCGTTACCACAATTGGACCTCGTCAGTACGACGACTGTGGTAACAGTATAATTTAGTGAGATGTAAAAATTAAACAGATGAAAGAGATGTAAATCGGAAAAAATGAAAAGGGTAGAAGAATTGGAAGATCTTAAAGAGATAGAAGGAATGGTAGGGTTTATTAGTTTCGATGGTAAATTGGTACTGGCATATGTTTATGGGGCCATAGCCACCATCAAATTGCTAATAAGCAACTCTCGAAAGAGGGAGTCATCAACAGTACTGCTTGTAGCTGGCTGCTGTCAACAATATGCTACAGTTTAGACTACTGCCGAGTGTTTTTGGCCTCTGAGAAGGAGATCAAGCGAAGACAAACTTTAAGATGAGAAAGCGTTGAGGCGGGTTTTGCGCGTTCGGTCATCCAGTCGATCAGTGTGCTCGGATGAATGTATCGTTTAGTCAGTAAATGCTGCAGCTCGAATTCATCGGCTGCTGATGTCCATGAAGAATCGCCATCCACATAATCAATCAACAGTGCATGTCCAGTTGAAAGTAGCAACTGTTGTAAGGCCTCATTTTTTGTCATCTGCAAAAACTGGAATAAGTTGATCGCTCACAATTTTTATATTTCCCAAAAAAACATGATTTTCAAAGGTGCAAAAGGAAAACTAACATTACAAGTACTGCTAGAACGAAAGATACAAGAATTCTATGCCAATGATGATACTGGGATGCACCCAAAAGCTTAACGAACCTATGCCAGCTCAGTTAGTAACAACCTCCAAAAGAGTAACTAATGGCA